ACAGCATGAGTGAAGCTGCACAGAGAGCAGAGCACGGCTAGACGCTGGCGGCATGAGCAGTGCTGACTGGCTCCTAGATCCTAGAGGCAGCCGTCCTCCATTTCCAGCTGGGGGCAAGGTGCCCAGCAAACGCTAGAACTTGGGGTGGGCTTCTGCTGCCAGTGGCTTGGTTGTAACTGAAGGGCAGCAATCATTTTCTGAAAGGAAACTATTTCCAGGTCTGCATTTAAAATTTTGTACATAATTTTAGCCATCGAAAATAATGTTTTTTTTTTACTTCATCATTTTAGCTCTAACATCCCTTTTGATCAGCGTATTATAGATTGAGCTTGCATTTTATTTTAAATTCTGTTGTATTAAGCTTCTGACTTTTAGATTTTTCTGTTAGGGCAATACCATACTTATGCAGTTCCCTATCATCTCCCCTATTTTTAACCTTGAATTACCTTGATGGCAAAGAAGTAATAATCACAAAGAACAAAATGTCAGCTGTTGATAAGTATGGATATTACATGGCTTATCTGAAGCGAACCATCCATTTTTCTGCCCTATCATTTTATTTATGTATCTACACACCTTAGAGGTTTTTCTTAGTATGGGAAGTTTCTTTTGACCTGATACAAGCCAGTAATACATTCTTTGACAGTAAGAAGCCCTGCTTTTTTGTTCTCCTGACCCCAAGGTGCATAAGTGTACTCTTACTTGCTTCATGTGCATCTCTGCTGTACAACATCTGCAAGGAAAGGGGCCACTGCCAAGCTCTTCTGCTAATAAATGTCTCCAGCGGTTAGCTGCCTTTGATGGAGCAGTTACAAAGGCTGAGAAAATACTGTTTAATGGGTTGTATTACCCACAATACACCATTTCTGCAGCGTTTATAATTTAGGAAAAATGTTTCAGATCTCCTTAAATATAACAATATGAGAAGTAAGTGAGTATAATTGCTCTTTTCCAACTCCTCCTTCTAGTTCCAGTCAACTCCCCAAAGGAAATGTTTCTGAGCCCAGGCTAGTAAGGCACACATCATTCCTGCAGTGAAGTAGATCTTTTCATCCTGCCTTCCCTAATTCCTTGGTGATACGCATCTTTACGAAGGTTTAGTACAGATCACTGCCTTAGAGTCGAACCACATAATGGTTCAGCTGGTGCTGATGGGGTCACACAGGCATCTTCAGACTTGCTCCTCTGTGCGCGTGAGCTGTGTGCTGGCCTCTGGCTCGGGCGCCCAGGAGTCTTGGCATTTTGAACTGCGGCGCAGGCACGCCTGTTCTCAGTCATCCCTGCTGCAGACCACATACACAAATAGAGATTTGCCCCACAGATTTCTGGGATGGAGTATTTTTCAGCTATCACTGTGCTTGTTAACTGTGTAGAAGGGCGGCTTGGGTAGATCTGTTCCAAAGCACTAAACTACTTCAAAGGAGATGAGTAGATTTTAAAACACAACAATAAAGATAATTGTAAGAGTAAAAATAATGTATGAGGAAAATTCATTGATGGAGGCACTTTTTTTGTTTTTGTAAATTTCTTACCATTTTGTCTTGAGATCATGTTTCATTTTTGTTGTTTTTGTGTTTTGATTTTGTCTTCATTGTTTTGTCAGTTTTTAAATTTTTAAAATAAAACAAAAAAAAGAAATGGTAAAACTTTAATTTTTGTCCTTTCATAATAATTTGGCTTTCTTATGATAGAATTCTGATTTTGATGTATTCTCTTATGGTTATGTGATAGCCTTACTTAGTAGATTTTATTGAACCATTTATAAGTGCTTCAATTTGGTGTATTTTAAGATATGTTCTTATAGCACTATTTCCCAACGTATACCCTATAAATGTTAGTAGGCTATGTTAAGCAAAGCAGAAAGGTTTCTCTTACTATAGGACAAGTAATTTGTATAACTACTAGCAAAGCATACTAGTATGTAAAAGCATATAGTTTATGCTGCACTGTTGAAGTGTCAGTCCTGTTTTTGTTTTCTTGGATTCACGTGAGATCTGTAGATCAGTTGAAGAAATCCTGAGACCATGTAAAAAGAAGAAAGTCAGGCATGACTGATTTTAATCACTTGTAGGAAACTAACTTTGTCTTCTGAATAATTTCTCATTAGAAAAGAAAGTCTCTCTTTTGGCTTTTTTTGTAGGATTAGGAAGAAACTTAGAAACCTACAGCTGTTTTTGTGGGATTTTCTCGCTAGTCTCCCCTGAGATAGGGGTCTGTGCTGCACTGCAGTGCTGAGCATTTATTTTTTTTTTGGTTTTTCTCCGGTACCAGGAACTGAACTCACGACCTTGCGCTTGCCAGGCAGGCGCTTTGCCGCTGAGCTAAATCCCCAGCCCGAGCTGAGCATTTGAACCAGGAGGGGGTTTGGGGTCTGCATCCGGGGAGAGGGCTGGAGGCTGCCGTGAGGTCTGCGTTCAGATTCCTGAGCCAGGGGACAGTTGAGGAGCGATAGGAGGAAGAGAACCTTGTCCTGAAAGTCAGACAGACTGCTTGAGAGATAACAGTGTGTCTTCCTTTGAAGTTCTGAAGATTTCTTGCTTGGGTGAATACTGCTTGTTGCTTACAAACCTATAGTAGGGTACTTAGGTTTAGAAAAACTCCAAGTTTTTAGGTAAAATTAGAATAAGGGAAAACCTTAAAGCCCTTGAAAGTTCCTTACAGCCCCCTTTGAGACCCTAATAAAGCATTGCCATTTACAAAGGTATGCTTTAATTAAGCTTTCTACTCTTCAGGGTGCCATTCTTCAGGATAATAAGAAGACTTGGGAGGTTGCACTACACCTGTCCTTAAAGTTTTAAAAAATCTGTAGATATCCTAGTTTAATTTTATGGTGTTTAGTAAGGAAATGTGATTGGTGTATTTAAAATTTTTTTTTTCATTGTATCAGTTGTGGACTGAGTATTGTTTGGATCTACTTTTACCACTGTAATGCATTTCTCTGGGGTTTAGTCCATTTTGTAACTTTCAGAACACATTTAAGAACTGGCTGCCCTGCCGCATAAGATCATGGTTTTGACTTAATATGACATTTATTATCTTAAACCATTTAATTAGTGTCTAGAAGGGGAACAGTTGGCAGCCAGTTGACTTTTTAAAAATGCAATAATAAGGGGTAGATGAGTGGACAAAAGGAGAAGAGTAGTCAGGATGTTACAAGTAAGAGGTGGTGCAGATCAAGGTTGCAACAGAACACTCTTACTCGTGCATTCAGATAAAAATTGACCCCCTCACCTGGAAAGGGCTTATGTGACCTTTTGACAAGACCTTTCTTTTTAGCTCCCCCCTTTTCCTTTTTGTTATTTCATAGAACTACATTTGTCTGACTATCTGGTTTGTGCACAGTTAACCCGTAGTGACGTGGCAGCTGTAGTATTTGAAGTCTCATAGCTTGATGTGTAATAGCAGAAGACCTCTAGCCTGATGTCCATAGTCGCAGCCTACCTTGGTGAACTGTTTGGATAGACCCAGTCCTGTGTCCCAGTTGCCTGAGTATAGCTTCTGCCTCTTACTCATGTGTAATTGTTAATAGCTCCCCCTTTTACCCTCTGAAGTGTTCCGGTTTAGATGATGGATTTTTACGGCCACATTGTATTTTGATAAATGATAATGATTTACTTCAAACACCAGTACCTAGAGTTAGTAACACTGCTAACTGTGTAAGGAACAGTTGTCTGGTTTACTTCCTTCTTCCTGAAGCTTCTCTGAGGTTCTTCTTTGTGCTGTGAACTTCACTGATTTTTACCTTTATTGATTTATTATTTCTGTAACATGTTTGATTCCATTCTTGAGACTTTGAGTCCAAATGGTGATACTGAACGAGTGGCTTTGGCACTCAGGTTGAAAAACAGAATTGGTGGAGATTTTTTTTTGGTCCAAAAGATATTAGGTTTTGGGGCAGTTATTCTTGTTTGTAGGGGACAAAGTAGTAAAATGAGGATAAAAGGAAAGAAGAGCAATTGGGAAGACTAAGCAGTGAGCAACCATTTATTCTAAAAATAGTTTTGATCATATGCACGGGTTTGCTGTGGGTCATGGTGAGTGGGTGGTGGTTTGTGCTAGTTACTGAAGCCTTATTGCAAAAAAATTCACTGAAGAATTTAGTAATTGAAGAACAATAAAATATGTTAAGCCCTAGGCAGATTTATCCCAACTCAAATTTTATATATGCTAGTAAACATATTTATTACTTTATGTGGATTGTATTGTACTGAGAATATAAAATAATAATGTTCATGTAATTATTTTTTATCATTAATGCTAATGTTTCTAACCAAATAATCGTTTCATTGGCTGTGAGGATTTCCCGCCTGCATGGTGAAATGAGTAATAGTTCTGTAATGCTTCCTTTCACAGGTCATGTCATGTTTGCAGAAATAAAAATGGAGAATGGAAAGTCCAAAGGCTGTGGAACAGTCAGGTTTGACTCCCCAGAGTCAGCTGAAAAGGCCTGCCGAATAATGAACGGCATCAAAATCAGTGGCAGAGAAATTGATGTCCGCCTAGATCGTAATGCATAATTTCAACTGCAGTTGGAACATTCCTTCATTTGTTTTTGCTAAATCTTCTAGAAAAAGTCTTTTTTGTTGGTTTGTTTTAATAATACTGTATGCTTACAGAAGCTGTAAAAATGAACTTTTAAAATTCCCATCAGCTTTCAACAGTATAACGGTAAAAATATACTGTGAGTTTTTTGTTCATCTTATGTTGGGTTTCTAAAAACAGCAAGTGTCGTCATTCAGTTTAAATGAATGGTTATACTGTTTTTAAAGAAATAAGCCATTTTCTTGTTTTCACTATTATATAATAGGGTTTGTTTGTTTTGGTTGCCCCAGCTTTTATCAACTTATTATAAGGTAAAAGATAGATGATTTTTTCAAAATTTTTGTTTTATAATATGTAGTTGTCCATGAAAAGAAGGGCTCAGATTAATTAGAATATGATTTCGGTTGGTTTTAAAGTACTTTCCTTTGGCATAAAGAATTACTATAAGTGTTAGATTATAAAGTTCAGGATGTTTTTTATTTGATTTAAATGAAGAAAGGGATTTTTCCATGTTCTCCCATTCACATTTTTCACATAGCACTGTTAATAAAATCAGCCTCCACAACCCTTTATTTTATTATTGCCAATAATTCCAAGTTCATATAGAACTGATAGTGTAGCGAGCCCCACGTACAGTAACAGGCAGCCTGCTCCCAACTTTCTGTCCAGTTTCCAGCCATTAAAGTGAACTGCTAGGAAGAGAAAAAGAATTGAAAAGTTGAGGGCGACAGTGATGTAAGTGAGTCCTCTGCTGTTCACTCCTACAGGAGCTGATGTGTTTATGAATGCAGTTTGAATGAGCCAGGGAACGCCTAAGCATAGCATATCAAACACGTTGGATCCTACGATGTTAGACATAGCCATGTCGCCTTTCCCTGCAGACAAGAAGCATGTTGTGAAAATGTGCATACCAGTACTGTATTTCATTAATAATCCTCATAAGAAAACACTGGATACTTTTTTGTTTTTGGTTAGTTTTAGAAAATTGTTATTAGATCACGTCTTGTTGAATTTGTATTTTAAACTTTTTCTTTGGTTTAGTATTTAAAGTCTTAACATTTATTTAATAATAATTATTTATTAAACAATTTCCCAACAAGGTATGTAGCTTACTCATTGCTGTTCATTCTAATTTAACATAGTTAGTTACTATTTAATGCACATTCCATTATCATTTGGGGGGTTAGACTGAGTGAAATTAATACGGTATTACATAGTAAGCCCTTGCCCTTGGGTCACTTTTTTTTTTTCCGTAAAAGTATGTTAAATGAGGAAATAAATATTTTTAAAGTTACTTTGACTCGGTGTATTTTAGCCACACTCACAGAACGGGCACTGCAGCTTCAGTGTGAGGCCCTGCGTCTCACCTTTTCTGGCCACCAGCACGCTTGCGACGGTGTCTGGAATGCTGGTTCCTGCTGCTAACAGAGTGAGGCCCATCACTGTGTCCGGGATCTGCAGCGTTTCGCCTGCCGGAAACACAGACCCTGCACGTTACACATCTCCCGTTCTCTGCAGATGCGTCGGACAGTCCTCCTTGTTCAGAAACAACCACAGCGTATTTAGAGTGTTTTTCTTTTTATGATTAGTGCCCATTAGTTTTTACAAAATATTAGATTTCATTGCATACATTTTTGAACATATCCATTACACCGCCCTGTTTAGATTTCTGAACCAGTAATGTGTTCTGAACCAATTTCTAATTAGCAAGATGTTTGGAATCAAGTTGGTAATGTGGATAACCTGAGCAGTACAGATTTTTAAAGTGCTTAGCAGCCATACTTCTACCAGTGAGGACTTGCCTTATTTATACCCTTACAGAAATTACACATGTCTGTAGTTGTCTCACTGGGGCTGTTGCTTCGTATTTGCTAAGGAGACTCAGCAGGTTTTTGTTTTCTTTAACATTTTTTAAAGTATTAGAGTTAAGCATAGTACAGCTGTTTTAAAGCTGTGTATGTGTTGAGATGTTTACATTTTTAAACTCCTGCTTTAGTGACATAACCTTAGCTTAGTGTGTTCTTGGTAAAATCTATGTATTGCTGATAAAAATGAACCTTTTTGCTTTCTACTTGAGTTTTTCTAACATATGGTCCCAGTTTCTTAATACTTCTGTTAAATTTGATGTCAGTTCAACAGTTTTCTTGGAAACAGAAAGGGAAATTTAAGGAAGTTGGGAAAGGGCACATGTAACTGCTCTTTTAATATAATTGAAAATGTAGCTAGAGTCTTTTTTTGCCTTTATTTCTTTTAAAATGCTAATGACAAGTTAGAAAGTAGCTTACTTATTGCATGCTGATAGGTTGGAATTGGAATAATGTTTGATACTTGCTAGAGTTCATCTGTACGTAGATAGCATGGTTCTTGATCATCTTAAGGCACTATTCTGTGATCTTTTACTTGATTTTGCACTCTTTCTCTTAATATCAAATGTATTCTGAGAAAATGTGGACAGACTGAATATGCAGACTAATTGGACATTTTCATCTGCCTTATTAAAAAGAGAAAATTCTATTCTAATACACATACTAACTTAGGAAAGCCAGGGTAAGCAAATTTTGGGAGGAAGTGCCAGATAGTAATTATTTAAACTTCGTAGGCTCTGTGCAGTTATTCAGCCCCACCAGTGCAGTGTGAGAAGTGGTCACAGATGACACATAAATGAATGGACTGCGTTCAGGACAACTTCATTAAAAGCAGGCTGAGGGATGTGGCACATGTGTAACAGCTGTATCAGACATGGACCTCTGGCGTGTGCCAATGCAGCGTAACCTTTCTGAGAGAAATCCCTCCACCCTTTTTGTCCATGTTGTGAGTTTTTCATTTGGGAATCAGAGTATATTATGAGCAGGCAATAGTAGGTAAGTCTTAATCATGAAGACAGTGGAAACCTAAAAGGAAACTCTTTTACAACCTTCTCAGTCATTTTATAGTGTATTTATGTTGCTGTATTGTAAAGCAAAATAAAATGTAATGTGGTTGAACAGTGAGCACCCATTGTTTTCCCAAAAGACTGGTCCTTATTCTGTATTTCACTGTGGAATAGAATTCATTACAAAGGGTTCATGTATTGTGAACTCCAAGTAATGTAAGTTAATTATTAGCATAGTATATGGATTTGAATTTGATTTTATGTATGATTCTTTGAATTATACCTCATACTGTGTAATAAATAGGGAGAATGTAGTTGATATATAAGATATAACTTTCAAAATCTGATTGATTGTGTTGTGTTTGCATTTTATCGTTTTGTAAATAGCACTTTTTGTCCACTGAAAGAGAAGTACACCCTAGACCACTTTAACTGAGCGTAATGCAGTTGTTCCTATATGAAATTATTTTCTTGTTGCCCTTTTCTATTTAAAATACATACCAGTTATAGTGACCATCCAAACCAGGACATATGTAAATGCAGATATCCATAGTGCAGACATGAAAAAGGTTATTATGTAGTATTTTTTCCAAAACATTCTTCGACAATCTGGTGTTGTTAGAAAAAGTAATGTAATGATAGGAAGGGATAATACCCAAAAAATTCTTCTAAAGTCTGCTTCAGGCACATGGAAAACACTTGGTGGGTCTGTTGTGGAAAAATTAAACAGTTTTGAGTTTTCTCAAATGACCAGTTAAGTCAGAAATGCCCATTTAGAAAGCTATATTGAAACAAATTAGCTGTATCAGTTTTTAAAAGGCTATTTAAGACATTTGAATACCTCATTACTGATATTGCTGGCAAAAAGGAACTAATTGAAACTTTAGAGCAGACAATCCAAGATGTCATGCTCAGCATTTCTTGATTTATGGCGTTAAGTCCATCAAAATGTCTTGGGCCATTTTCTGAATATGCTAGAGACAGTGTCTATGAAGTAGGAGTTGGTAGCTTGTGTTTCTCTGTACAGACCGTCTACTGCTGTCCAGCGGCCTGTCGTCACAACACTGATGGTACCTCTGACCTGCCCTGCGGTAATGCACACTAAGGGAACGTAACGTTACTGTACCACACTTTCATTAAGTTGCGTATTCTATGCTAACTCTTATTGTGCGTTTTGGGTCTATATCATTACTTTATTTACTAAATTCAGGTTTCTCAACAATTCCTAAAAAGAACCTTAAGAAAATAGGAGCTAGCATATAATCTACAATGTAATGTACGATTTGTGTGTGTCCTTTTATTGTTTGTTTTAAGTTAGGCAAGGATAGGGATAATAACACTACGTTAGAGAAAATGGGTATTCATTTTGGAATTGCTTAAAATTTGAATGGCATTTTTAAAATAATGTGTTTTTATTGCAGCAAGTCACATTATAAGTAATGCTGGTAAATAACTCAAGGGTACCGTGCCTCAGCCAGTGTGCCATTAGTCAATATGAGATATAATCTGAATGTAATAAAAGGATTTGGATGGGCTTTTTTGAGTTTCTTGTTATAAAACTTAGAGACACATACCTCTTATACTTTAAAGACTAGAAACTAAGTTTCGTAAGAGGAAAAGTCATGTTTTAGTTTTTAAAGTGGTAAATTAGAACAAGTTTCCTTTTTATGGCTTAATTGAATAGAACCCAAACAGCTAGTTTTTTAAAAAAGTGACTCATGTATCCTTCTAGCCATACTGAATTTGACTTCCACTGAACACATCTACCTGTTTTGCTCCTGTGTCACATGATGTTTAAACCTCAGCTGTTTTCCCATTTCCTCCAACCCAGCCCCTTCTCTTGAACAGCTGGTTTTATAAAGCGTGCGCCTGTTCTCTCAGTCACGACTAACACTCTGGAGTTTTCTTTCCCTTTTCTGGCCCCTGCAAATCACCAAGGCTTGGCGACACTTCCTCGGCATTGTCTCAGTCTGTCCTCGCCCCTCTGCATTGCCTTCCCTTATAAACATGTGGGCTGCGGCCATACCCTCTTACAGACCCGCTGTCTCTGGCTCTGTCTTTAGGTTCTGTGAGCACTGTTGTGGGGTGATACTCCTAACGTACAGCTCCGATAATGTTCCTGCTAGCACAGCTTCCAAGATTCATGTGCTGGGACTTAGGGTCCCTGTTGCATACCTGTCAGCCTTCCTCTGCTGCCTGACCAAGCGACCGATGCGAGTATGCCAACATGCCTTTGGTTACTGTTCCCTTGGCCTCAGAACATAGACTGTTCTGTACTTGCATCTGTGTCATTTAGGTAATGAAGATTTCAGTTCCACTTACTGGTTATACCATCCTACACAGCTACGTTAAATGCTCCTTTTTCCATTAATCTGTCATCGCCAGATTTTACACAATGTTCCAGTTAGGAACTACAGTTCATTGTATTATTTAAGTGATACGGGCAACTCCTCAAAGGCCTAACATCATCATCTCTAAACCTCTGCGGCATTACATGGTAAGTAAGTGCACAACAGTTGCTAACTCGAAATGAGACTCTTGGTACTTTCCTGATGGATAGATGTACTAGTGGGCAGGCTGTAGTTATTACCTTCAGACGCTTGACTGAGACCATGTAAACTTAGGGAGAGCTGGGAGTAGCCAGAGTCCTCGTGAAATATCCCACTGTCGGTTCTTGACTGCCGGCGAATGAACGGCTGACCCTCATCTTCCCATTCCATCGGTACCTGCTCGCTTCTCTCCTCCATAGCTTGGACAAGACAGGTGCAGCAGGGACTGCACTTCCTTACAACGCATTGCTGAATTTTAACGTCAAAACACAGCACCAGAACGTAGAGTCCATATATCAAAAGTAGTAAACTCCCTTCATACCTATAAATTAAAGAGAAATCTTGGTTTTGAGCTTGAAGCAGCAGCAATTTTAGAATTAATAACTTTTGAACGGTGTTTTTTTCCTTTTTTTGTAGTGCCTTGTGCATGCTAGCCAAGCACTGAATTGTTGAGGCACATCCCCAACCCTTAGCTAGTATCCTGATAATTTTCTAGCAAAAGTAGCATTAAAACAAACATTTGTAGATACTTTTCTTTTATAGATTAGTCCATACTTGGTTATAGCATCATTGTAAATTCTTTCATAAAAGCCTGACACTTTCTATATTAAGAACAGAGTTATCAATCCATTATCTACATATATAGATTCTTTCCAAATGTTAGGCATAAAAAATGCCTTGAAAGTAATAATTGGAGATTTTCAAAATAAAACTAAGGAGTTGTAATGAGCATTTTTTACTTCGGTTCTTTAGTTCATTCCCCCATATATGTAATAATTGTAAGAGAATATACATTCATTTATTTCAGCTGTGCCTGTTGGAGCTTTTGGTCTAAGAACTTTGTGAAAATAATCAGAATATGTTAAACAGATTTTTTGATGATTGTATTATAACTGAATTGGGCTTATATTCACAGGAAAACAAAGGTATTCTCAGTAATTGTATCATAAGGCCCTGAGAATTGTTCCTGCACATTCTTGTTTCCTGGTTACCTGTAACTAGCTAAGGGTACCACATTTGAACTTAACATGTGCTTTTCGTTTCTGAGTCAGTGAGTGCCTCTGCTGCAGCTGAGCAAACAGTTCCCGAGTTTCCGAATGTTGCGGGGGAGGTTGCCATTAGTTTGGCTACTTCACAGTCACTGTCCCTTGCAGACTGCTAATTCCACAAACATCCTTTCTGGGCTGACATGGTTTGTTTGGGGAAGACAGCCCAGATATCAGGATAACTAATTTAGCAGTTATCTTCCCTGCTAGATGTTAAGTTTCTTGGTAGCAGATATCATCCAGTGTCACAAAATTTAGTGCTCCATTGCGCGTGATTCACCACCTTTTCTGTTTCTCGCCTGTCCCCTGGAGTTAGTATATAAGGCACAGCATATGTGGCCATGTGTTTTATTATCTTTATTTTAGTTGCCCAGCATAATGTTAGACACCTAATAGATGCTCGGTGTTTATTTGAAAAAGTTTATATCTGTTCAGAGTCACTGTCATTTTCATTTTCTAACATCAGCTAGGCAAAGAGAGATTACAGGAGAGCAAACAGTTTTTAATATTGACACCTAAATGGTTCTTAGAGGAAGAAGGCTGTGTAGTTCTTTCTGCTAGGTGAACATCTGAGAGAAATTGGAAGGAATGCTTTCACTTCCTTTACTATCTTTTTCCAATCTTTTTTGACCATGACCACTTCTCTCCAAGACAAGATAAGCAATAACCTAGCAGAAGAAAAAGCCAACAAAAAACGGGAAAATTTCTGAGCAGACAACTGGCGGGAGAGGGAAGATTGATGCTCTCTAGTGAATAGCGAGAGAAAATGGGAGACCTTGAGGTGACCAAAAAGAAATGCAAGGTCATGAGAGCTGGCCGCTGGCAGTTGTGGTGAGGAAGTCAGAATATTCCAGTGACCGTTGGCATATCATTGAGAAGCAGCTGGATGACATCCCTGCATGAAGACAAGTGAACCATCGGAATTCATACTCTATAATTAGGTTTTTCTTTTTTTTTTTGGTTCTGGGAATCGAACTCAGGCCCTCACACTTGCCAGCCCGGCACTGTGCCACTGAGCTCTACCCGCCCCGGCCCTCTAATTAGGTTTTATGTGAGAGTAACTGTGATTTTTGAGCTTACCAGTAAACTTGGTTGTCAAATATTACAGCAAAAACCGCTGCTGCACTCACGGTGTATGCTGTGCAGTCTCTGAATAGAGGCCAGCAGGACAGTGGTGAGGCCTGTGGATGAGAGCGGATGTTCCCATTGCAGTGGTGAGGGATCTGGCACGACGCGCAGTACACTGCTAAGGCTGTTTGCGTATCCGTGTTGTTACCTTTTGCATATTGCTTGGAGGAAAGGAAATTTGAAGGAGTAATTGCTTCTAAACATACCCTGACTTTCAATTGGAACAGGAGCTACTGTGGGTTAATTAAATTGAATAAATGTTGTTTTTCCACCTATTAAATGTCATTGAGCATACTACTAGTGGCTTGTTCATCCTGGACAATAAACAACTATTTTTATAACTTGACAAGATGATACATTTGATTGAATAAAGTTTTCTTACATACCATGTTAGAGAGCAAGCCACAGGCTGCGCAGATGCCAAGGAGATTGTAAATTGCAGATCCGAGAATGGTGCTAATGCCGATGTCTCCTTTTGTGATAAATACACCTATTGGCAAGATAGTGGCTGCTAAGTTAGTGTTAACTTGAAGAACATAAAATTACATTGAATAAGAAAGCATAAAGAGCAATATTTACCTAGAAAAGCAGTAACTAATTCAGGAGCTGAGCTACCCGCTGCCATGAAAGTTGCACCTGCAACATCCTGAGATAATCCAAGGGCTGAGGATAAATGAAACGATTATTGTGCCTGAGAAAGTGACAAGTGAAAGAATATGTTTTCACAGCTGAATAGAATAGATATGCAAAGCTGTAGCTTCACATAAGACATGTTAATACATAAGACAGCTTCACAAAGACTAGGCTGGAAAATAAAATGGGCAGGTTGGAAAATGAGAAAACCCAGTGCCCGGCTTCATATGGACCCGTCACTGAGTGCTGCTACAGGAACGGGGAGAAAGCCATGGGGCTCCTGTGCGGTCCCGAGCGCCAAGCCTGGGCCTCATTTCCAACCCAGCAAACGCTCCCAGCTGTAGACAGGCGTGAGGCACAACACCGTGACTTCAAAAACAGGTGTCCCAACTGGAAAGAAGAAAAGATTGGGTATTACTAGTTGAGATCTATAAATGAATTGAGCTTGTTCACAAATCTGCAATATCAACCTTGTCTAATTACAAAGTACTTAACAAAGCCTAATAAATACGACTTAAATTTTAAATATTCTGTAACTATCCATTTAAAACATTGACCTATTAAAACTCTAAGAAATGTCAGTGAATATACATAGATATAATATCAACCATCCTCATATATGATCAGTGGAATTTACATTTTATGAATTTACATTTTATTCATAAAATACATTTTATGAATAAAGTTATTCATAAAATTTACATTTTATGAATAACAGGCCTAGGGCATGGGGATGTAGCTCAGTGGTAGAGTTGTGGAGAATGTGTGAGAGGACCTGGGTTCTGTCCTCGGTGCTGGAAAACCAGAAATACATAGCCCCAAACAAAAGCAAACAGGTGTTAGAAGTAACTCAATGTCGTGTAGATAGTACAGCTCTTAAAAGTGGGCAGTGGTAGTGGGCATAAACCTGAGTGTGTTGATTCTAAGTCCAGTGCTCTATTTCAAGACCGCAATCCAGTGGCATAAGCAGGCCAAGTATGACTTGGTGGGTAACTGAATTATTTCTCCCTTGCTTCACAGTGCCGGCACCACAGCTGCTTGTATCCCATTCTTTCCTTGGGAAGAAACCTAGTTACTGGGAGTCCGGGATACTTTGGGAGTTTCCTAGCGTGAGTTTTCAGAGGATTTGTAAATTTAGTGCTGTTGCTTATTATCATGAATTGTCTTCCCAAATCCAGTCAGGCTTAGATGGTTTGTGGGAGAAATGTATTTTGAAGACAGTGCTTTATCTTGAAGTAATGGACCAAACTTGGTGCAGCTGAAGACTGCTTCATTAGAAGAATTCAGTTTCGAGAGAGGTGATCTATTTTGGGCTGTCACAAAGCAGAGAAATAGGTGGCCCTGTAGAACACTTTCAGTCTCAATAGGCAGTGAGAAGGCTTGTTTCTATTCACTGGGCTGTAATTAAATTATGAAAGGAGATATTCTGTATAGATGGATGAATAAAACTTCAAAGATATTTTAACAAGTTATATCTTAAGGTTCTAAGAACATTTTGTAAAATGGTTTATACTTTTGAACTTTAGAATAGATTGGCTTTGTCTTCTTCGACCTTTGGGTAGCATTTCTCTCTGCTATAGTTTATTAGTAAAGATAAAGTGTACTGAGTTTTTTTTTCCCCCATAGCAATTACTCTTTTTTTCCTTTATTACTCTAAAAGAGCAATCACATTTCCTTCAGGATGTAGCGGAAAGGTTCAAAGTGAGTTTGCTTTACAGGTTTAGGAGACAGCACATTGTTTATGTGACTACAACTGCATGACTAGGTAATCAGCTGTAACTAAAAGTCATTAGACTTTTTCTCTTAAATGTGTTCGTCTTCTAATACCATACTGGAGAGCTTATGACAGCTTTTGAAAATCTTCTACATGATACAGTAGGAGGATTATTAAACTAAAACACAGACCTGAATTCTGCCCCTGACAGTAATTCGATATGAAACTTAAAGTGGGAGGTTATACTACATAATCTTTAGGTTATCTTCTAATTTTTTCAGTCTTAAAATGTAGACTACAAATTCTGTGCTTTAAGACTCTATGCCTCTTTTTATTGTTAATTAAATTCCATTAACAATAAAAAACAATCTACCTTACTGCAAATCAGAGCATGGACAGGGACAGTAGAGCAGAGAGGAGTCACACTTTCTCATGGTGATTTAACCACTGCTGTAATTTTGAATGTACTTCTCCTTTTCACACAGTGCACATTTAATACAGTTATAGCATAGGCCACATGCAATTTGGTGACCAACCCCTGGCACAATTTCGAAAAGTCAGCAGACTTTTTGCTTTGTGAGAATGCTAGAGTTATCAGAAACGGTCAAAAGCCACTCAGCTCTAGTAACCAGGGTGTGTGGTTGTGCTGAGTACTTTTTAGGTTTCAGAATGAAGTGTGACAACTAGCTTTTTTATATTTGACAAAACTGGTTCTGAAATAATTTTTTTTTATTTTAAAAAGGAGGAAACCATTAACAGACAACCATTTACAAAATAGCAAAAGAACAATACAAACAATACAGAATTACAAACAAAGTGGTGGGAAATTAACAATACTTGTTGTATTACATATTGATATCTTCAAAGTGGTTTCTCATGAAAACAAATAGAGACATGCAATATTGATCAATCAAGGACTCATTAGCTGTTTCTTTCAGCAAAGAAATAGAAGACAGTAGATCAACTATGTTAACTATCCTGTATATGCATACATACAAAATTTCTTCTTCTTTCCCTTCTCTTTTCCCACATCCCAACTGCCCTTTACCCTTGAGCGTTTTCCTTTCATTTCACAATGTCTATCATACATCCAAGTTTTTATTCACTCTTTCAGGTTTTACACTAGTGAAACAATGCAGTGCTTGCTCACACAGTTCTGATTTATTTCACTTATGAGTATGGGGCTCTCATTGTGACCATTTACCTATAAAAGCCTTGAGTTTATCTTTCTTTATAGCTGAGCAATATTCCATTATATAAAAGTACCACAGTTTTCTTATCCAATCTTCGGTGAATGGACATTTGGGTTGCTTCCACAATTTAGCAACTATAAATTGTGCTGCTGTGAACGTAGGTGCACATATATTGCTGTGATACGATGTTTTTAGATCTTTTGGGAAAATACCCAGAAGGGAATAGCTGGGTTGAATGAGACCTCCAGTCCTAGTTTGCTGAGGAATCTCCAAACTGATTTCCACAGTGGTTTCACCAGTTTGCATTCCCACCAGCAGTGGAGAAGAGTTCCTATTTCTCCACAGCCTCGCCAGCATTTGTTATTGCTTGATTTCTTAATGCTAGCCATTCTTACTGGGGTAAGGTGGAATCTCAGTGTTGTTTTAATTTGCATTTCTTGAATGACTAATGCTGTTGAACATTTTCTCATGTATTTATTTGCCATTTGTATTTCATTATCTGAGAAGTGTGTATTCATCTCAGCTGCCCATTTTTGGATTGTGCCTTTGAATTTAATTCTTTCTGTGATCTAGATAGAAGTCCTTTGTCTGAGGGACAATCAGCTAAAATTTTTTCCAAGTTTGTGGGTTTTCTTTTTACTTTGCTGGTGATTTCTTTAGATGTGCAGAAACTTTTCAGTAGGATGAGATCCCAGTTGTTGATTCTTTGAAGTGTTTCACGTGCAGTTTGGTTTTTGTTCATGAACTCTCTGCCTACCCCTGTGTCTTCAAGGTTTTTACCTACTTTCTCTTCCAATAGATTTAGTGTTTCTGTTTTGATATTGAGATCTGTGATCCATTTTGACTTGGTTTGGTACATGGTGATAGACTTGGGTCTATTTTCAGTCTTTGGCAGGTGGCAAGCCAATTTTTCCAGCACCATTTATGAAAGAGGCTATCGTTCTTCCAGTGAGTTTTTTTGGCCTCTTTATCAAAGATTAGGTGGCTGAGTGTGTTTTTGATTGTGGCTGTTCTGAAATAAATTTCAAATGTATTTCCACAACAATTTTGGGTAAAATCAGCATTATTGGAAGAGGAATTTTATATATATACATATATATATAATTAGTATAGTATTTTAATAATGAGTAAAAATAATCTGATTATGTTTACCACCTTACATTTTGCCTGAGCTATGAAGGAATGAATTCTAAAACACCTGTAAGAAGCTGATTCTACTGAGAAAAGGACTCCTGCCCTCAGTCTAATGTCTGTAACATTGTGGTGTATTTCCACCTATCTGTGGCCTTAGAGTACACAAGACATTTTACCTCCAATCCTGACAGTTACCTGACCCCAGCATGCCTGAAGTCAGAGGTGGGATGGGAAACTAGTTCTCTTTTGGTTACACAAGTGGGTAAAGTGATTAATATGTAGTAGCTGCATCACTATCACAGTCATTGCTTGTCCCTGCGATAGCAGCTCGGTAACATACAGACTACTTAGCACTCCTTTAGATCTGAATGCCTGGTGTGGATTTAAATGTGATCCAAGGGGACCACACTTTTGATCAGAGAAGAAAACAACAAAGAATCTGCAGTGCTCTCAGGAGCCTGAGTGCCCATGTCATGGGAGGAAGCTCGATTCTGAGCGTCTTTGTTCTCTGGGAAGCTTTTTGCCTCTGTAAATTTCATGAGGATTAAAAACCAAACAGTCCCCTGCAACTATAGGCTATCCAAATGCCATACGTAGAGTTATTCCATTCCCAGTTTTATCTATTTAGAGCCAATTCCACCTGGAATTAAAACTTGTATTTTTTTCTCTGTTTCTGAAATACGCAATAGCAGAGAAAGTGACAGTGATTTTCTAAATAAAATGTAAACATTTTATTAAAGTGTGTTTCCTCCAATTCTTATTAAGATCATTTTTGCTTGAGTCAAAAATACCAGCATGGTGCAGGAATTAGGATTTCTAACCTAATAGCCTATTAGTGTGGTATTTAAAAAGGAAACTTTTATAGCAAGCTTATTGTTGAATTTGGCTTGTGTCAAGTGATGAATCTTTAGAGGTTCTCAGATTTTTTTATGTGGATATCTTAGAAAAATTTAAAGAAAGCTGCTGCAAACAGCAGCTCAGCACCTCTG